TCCTGTGTTTATATGCTAATATCCTGTGCTATTTTCATAGCCACCGAAAGAATTATGTAATTTGCAAACACTTTTTCAAGTTGTAAAAACAATTTATAAGCTTACAGGATCTTCAGACCTTGTCTGACCTTTACGTATCCCGTGGTAATCTTTGTTAGGAAATTAGCAGCAATAAGTAGCTGAGATGGCGTTAGTGCTGTGCAGCATTCTTGCCATACCTCGATGTCCCGATTGAGCTGCCTCACTATCGCAGTAATGTTTCGGATGTGCTCCTCCAGGAGTTGCCTTGCCAACCGGTCACCCCCCCCTTTGTTCTGCATTCTGTGCAGCGTGGAAACAATGTCCTCCTTAATGCGAAAAGCGTGTTCCACAAGAGCCGCTGTTGTTTTCTCATGGCTCAGGATTCTGTCCTCCAGCTGATCCACCAGGCTGGCCGATGCCAGCGGGACCGCCGTCAGTGCCTGGCTGTGCAGCGGGATGTTTCGGACCCGTCTGGAGGGGGGGAATAGCCACATCTTGTTAAGTTCTCACACAAAACTCTGCGATGCCTTTGCACTGGAGACAGTGTGACACTGCCTGAGTAGGGCAGTGCTGGGGAGAAGCCCTAAAATACACCCAGAGAGAGTGCCCACTGCTACCCACAAATAAATGGGTGCTGTGCTGGCTGCTGTGTGTCTTGTACAAAGGCAGGTCAGGCTTTTCTTCATGGCCTTTAAGGAAGCTTACAAAAGCATGGGATCTTAAGGAAAGGACACTAGCATAATAAAAGTAGTTACAAATCGGAACTATAATTTGATTAAGAGTCCAAATTCAAACCCTTCTACTGAGTTTCAAAAGTAATGTTATTTGTCTTTACAGTTTTCAGGCTTAATCAAAACTGTAACAGTTGAAGGTGGGTATTGAAACCAGATCAGAATTTAAAAGGAGTAGCTTGTGTCAATCCCTTTTCTTTCTCTATAGCTAGCCTGTAATACCACACAGAAGCTTGTTCACCTGCAAACTGGACAGGAGCATATGTGCGCATGGAAACTGAGGTGAGACCAAATTTATGACAAGCTTCTCATAGGCTTAGAAGTTAAATTTCCCCCCAGTTTAGCTTACATTTGGGTACCTTCAATAATTATCTAGATTTTTGAAGAGTGCTCTGCATTATATAGCTCACATAGAAAGCAGTGGAGCTCATGGGTGCTGAAAGTAATAAAATGAGGCTGGTAATGCATGCAACCTTTTCCTGCTACTATATTCTGTAAAGAATAACAACATTTTCAGAAGCATAAGTGGAGGATACAAGTTCAACCCCACTTCAGAAAAGGAGATATTTTTCCTAGGAACTCTTATTTACTGTGTATTTTCATGTTGTTTCCTGTTAATGAGCCAAATTAGCAGTTCAGTTTGACCATGGCTGTGGAATCCTTTGAACCCTTCAGGGAAATCCCCAGGGCCTTGCCCTGGAAGAATATACCATAATTTTCTCCACCCAGGCTGAAAGAGAGGACTTATTGATAGAAATGTATGAGGATTCCAACAAAGGTCACTTTTGGCTCTGTGTTTTCACAACTCATTCCATGCTATTTGAACACTGGCTAGAGTGCTCTTGGACTTCTAGTCAATGAGATTTAAGCTATGGAATTTCTTTGGGAAATAGCTAAGTAAAAGCTTAGTAAGGGCTTGTAATTTGGGCTATGATTTGAATGTTTATGGTATTTCACTTTGCATTGTACATTAATGACAAAATCCCAGGTCACAGCATTACTGTATATAGGGAATTAAGAAATACGTAATACTCTGCATTATGAAGATTTTTGGTTTTTTATTCCAGACTGTACCTTTCAGAAGTGGCAAGAGTTGGGAAGATTGGGCTTCGGTGGGCCATTCTCTGGTCAATAATTTATGTCTGTTGAAAAAGTACAAATTGAATTATTGAATAGCTTATATCTGGTACTGAAATGTCGTAAAGCTTTTGCTTTAAGTGCACCTTTAAGTTAAGTGTAATATTATGCTGACACTGGTGATCTTGGCATCCAAATATTGCTAATGCAACATATGCAAACAAAAATTAATACAAACGAATGAAGACTAAAAACTGCTAAAAAGCTTTTTATAGTGAAAATTATACTCTTGAAAAGACAACGTTGACAGCCTTGAAACTGAAATCTGCTGTTGACCCACAGAATTACTTTGGCAGGGCAGAGGTAAACGAAGTTATTGTCCCTAATCTTCTACTGGTCTCTGACATCATTAATCAATCAATAATAAAGTAAGGTCTACAGGATGATCATAAAACTTAAGAAAATATTGACTGGAGAATCAAATACAAGTGTTTCATGACAGCAGATTATTAGGGGCAAGATGTTTTTTTTTTTCATAAAAGCATTAGCAGTCAGAAATGTAAATAAAATGTGTGACATCAGCATAGTTTGTCAAAATTGAGTCTTATATTAATTTGTCTTCATATCTAAATAACCACACTTTATGTTGTAAGTAAAATCTTCTGTGTTAAGAATATAAAGTCTGGTTTTAATTTTTAGACACAGCCAGCCAGACTGTGACAGACATTGCAGCAGAGTAGGTCTATTAAATTGCTTCAGAAAGAGATTTTAGTGTCTTACTGAGACCAGTACCTGGCTCAGCAGCTTTGTCCACTGACAGAAATTAATGAAAAATAGATTAGCCTCAATCAAATCGAACTAATCTCCTCTGCATAAAACAAAATACATTTTTAAGTATAAAGAGAAATAGTATGGCCTGAGCCTGATCTCCTTGGGAACCTAAAATCCTCACTACAAAATAAAGGCAGATGTATGAAAAAAAGCTTACAATTGCTGATGAAATCCTGTGCAATGTGAGAAAGATAGGGTTATGGAAATACATTAGTCAAATATCGATAGTGAAGAAGCAATAGGGCTACCCTCTGAGATCTCAAAATGCAATGCATGTTTGTGCTTTAGAAATGTATGAAAGCACTGCCTGAAAGCAGAGAGCAAACATTGTCACAGTGTGTGTGTCCTATTTATAGCACAGTGCTTCAGAAACTACAAATTAGAAAAAAAAACAGTTTTAAGAGAAGCTGGGTTGCTGAGCAGCAGTGACACCAGACAGGAATTCAGGAGGTCTGAATTGAATTCCTTGCTCAGTCTCTGATCCTGTTGACTTTGGACAAGTTATTTCTGTGACTAATCACTCAGTTTCCCTATATGTAAGAGAGATAACCATACCTACCTCCTTGTTTAGGTTCTTACATGGCTATAAGCAAAAAGCACAGTATAAGAGCTGGAGGTCATTGTGGTGACTTCTGCATTCAGAGTCCTGCACAGATACTGAATGTCCAGTTCTGCAGTCTGCTCCTCACACTCGTCATTTCCCAGCTGCTGGATTTTTAAGGAATGCCAGCACTCTGCAAGGGGTCCCTCCTGGTCACACCACCAGACTGCAGCAGGTCACGTCACCAGGCACCCAGTTCTCAGTGGCCTGAGATCTCTGGGCTTTAACACATTTTAACCATCTTGATGCATTGAAGCTTTTAAGCACAATTTAGCTGTAAACACAGGAATTATCCCACTGATTTGGGAAGAGTTATGTGCACGCAGCAGCAAAGCACTGGATCCTACCTAGAAAAACAAAGAACAAATATTTAACTCTATACATCTGGCATCATCTTAGTGAAATTTAGTGAAATACACCTTAAAAAACCAGCCAAACAGTGCTTTAGTCTCACAGCCTTCAGTACTCATCTATTATCAGTTGGAAAATAATGTTTGCAGCAAGCTAAGCATAGGTTTGTATGAAGTCTTAACTCTTTCTGCCAGTCTACCATAAGAAATGCAGCTAAATGTAAATATCTGGAGTAAGTGTGGCTATGAAACAGAAGTTACACAAATGAACTTCTCATTCATTTCTCTGTGCTCAGTATGCAGTGAAGCATCTCATCAGATACCAGATTTCTTGATCTGATCCAACATCCAGAAAGGGTCTAAGACTTTGGCAGTTGTACAAAACTTTCTGCAGTTTGGAGATATTTGCAATTAACAAATAGGTGTCAGAACTAATGGCAAATTCCTTTTCTATGAGTGTAATGCCAACTTACACTAGTAAATAGAAACCATAAGATGTTCTATAAGAGGAGTATAATTTCATGTGGCTCTTTCAATGGCAATAAACTGGGGTCAAGTAAGATACCAGTTAAAATACTGGTTACAGGTGCTTGATTTTATTTTTTAAATAATGTTGTTTCCTGCTTGATACTTCTATAAGCAATTTAAGTCATGATGTAGTAATGCAATAAATTTGGGTTGACTGATTTAAGTTGTTGAATATTCCAAATATACTTGTCACATGGATAAGATACAAGTTTTTTCCTATTTGGAAATTATATGCCTGATTACCAGAAATAACAGTTCACTTGATACTTAAGGCAAGTTTTCCATACAAATGTGCAGTGCTTCCTTAGTGTTTCTTTAAATCACTCACATAAGATGTGTAAAATCTTGGGGGAACAAAAACAACATCCATGGGATGTGATGAAGAGATAGTTGTAACAATGCGCAGTTCACTCCTTGCTATTTGTGCTGTGGTATCCCTTCCCCACTTCTCAGACTGCCTTGCATGTTTATTTTCTATGGACTCTCCATTTCTCCTGTTTTGAATGATAATCATACCTGTAGTGTTTGGTTTTCCATCTTCCATTATAATCTACAACTAATGCTGTAATGTCTGCGCACCTCAGAGTGTTTTTCACATTCATTCTCACAATATGCCTGTGAGGTAGGAAGCATTATTATCCCTGAACATACAATTTCCTTCTATTGCTGGTAGGGAAGTGAAGCACGAGGCGGGCTATGTGACTTGCCACAAGTCACACGGGAATCAAAGGCAGACTGAAATACCTGCCTCGGCAAACACTTTAATCACTCTTTCCTTCTTAAAATAGAAACCGCTTTGGTTGCTGCACAGGGAGCGTGTGACGGCACCGCCCCGGGAGCCGCCAGATGCTTCTCAGCGTTACTCTGAAGTGCGCTGGGGCAAAGCTTCGGAGTAAGCGAAAAAGTGCCTGTGCTGCAGCTCAGCAAAGGGATGGGTCGGAGCCCGGCGGCTCCGGAGAGCCAGAGCCGTGCCGAGCCCCTGGGCGCGGCTGTGGCACTCGTGAACACGCGCGGCGCGGTGCGAGCCGGACGGGCTCCCCCGGCAGAGCGGTGACCGTGCCCGGGGCTCCGAGCCAGGCCGGGGGCTCCGAGCCAGGCCGGGGGCCCTCTGGAGAAATAGGTGCGATCGCCCCGGTGCCGGCCCGTGCCGAGCTGCTGTGAGCGGGGGGATCGCGGCGGAGCGATCTGCCCTGCCCTGCCCTGCCCTGCCCTGCCCTGCCCTGCCCGCGCATCGGCCCCACCGGGGGTCCAGCCCCCGCGGTTCGGGGGTCACCGGTGGGCACGGCGAAGGTTGCGGCGACACGGGTGTATGACAGCCGACAGGACACCGCGGTGCAGACACCACTCTACGGCCATGCAACACGGGGGACAGAGCCGGGACAGCCTCTGCGCTCACTCACCGGTGCTGGCTCAGGGCAGGGCAGGGCTGCCCGCCGCTTCCGCGCATCCCCGCCGCCGGCCGAGCCCCGCTCCGCTCCGGGCGCGCTGCCGCCGCAGGAGCGGCCGTTCCCGAGCGCTGTGACCGCCGGTGCGCAGCCGGGGCTCCGTCCGCCCGCCCTCCCGGCCGGCTGCGCGGAGAGGATGGGATGAGATGGGATGGGATGGGAGCGGAGCGGCCGCCGCAGGCCGGGCTGCGGGAGCGGGAGCGGTTGCCAGGACGCCGTCACCATGGGAACGCGCTGCCGCCCTGGCGGGGGGAGCCCTTCGCATCGCCCCCTCCTCGCAGCTATTCCGCGGCAGTGCCGATCCTGGGGAAGCGGGGAGGGACGGGAAGGACCCCGCAAACAGCGGCGCTCCCTGCGGCACGGGGGGCGAGCGGCGGGGATGGAGCGGGGGCCGCGCCGCGCCTCCCGCGCCAGCAAACGCCGGCCTCCAGACAGAAAGTTCGGTGGTGACGAACAGCGGTGACTCGGAGTTTCTGGTGGTGCAGAGGAGCCGAGAGTATGACCGAAAGCATGGGTTTTTCCAGAGCCTGTATCAAATCCTGTCAGAACACATTATTAAAATCAATGACAAATATTAGTCTTGTTTATAAAGTTTCCATGTTACATTTTCAAACAAGAGCTAACATGCAGCTTCAGTAAAACTTCATATATCACAGCAAATAAGATCCATCTGCTTGCACAGCAGAGGCGTGTCAGCTAAGAGAAAGTATAACTGGAAAAAACAAAGTCCACAGAGGGTGTGTCTGCCTTCACTTTTGTTCCCTGCTTGTGTCATTCCTTGGACTTTCATACAACCACCTTGGGTAAACAAAGTGTAAATGAAATCTGAGAAGAAGAAACTGCATCAGCTCACTCTGAAATAGCAGGTTGCCTCTGATTTTAGTTAAAATTCATGTGACATCCCATACTGTTGTATAGGAAAACCATTCCAGGACTAAGGATTTGATAGGTGTGAAGGATAAAAGGATTACACCATGCACATGCTATTGTAAAAAGCAAGGTGGAGTCTGAAACTAGATTGACCTATTTATTATAAAGTAGTTCCCACATCAGAGGATCAGGCCAGAGAGAAAACTTGCCATAGGTGCTTAGAAAACTATGAACTGGGAGTCAAAAGACTGTAGGATAATCCAGCTTAGAATGAATCCCAGGAGAACCCTTGTCCAACCTCCTGCTCCAAGTGAAGTGATTGATGAGGCCAAATGCAGTTGTTCAGGGTTTTACCCAGCCTGCTCTTGAAAACCTCCAAGGATAGAGTCTGTCCAGCTTCAGTGGACAGCCTGCTCTCATGCTTCTTGGCTGCTGAGGAAAGAACATTTTCTTTATGCCTAGTCCGAACCTCTCCTGTTTACATTTATATTGTTGTCTTCCCACCAGATGCCACTATGAAGAGTCTGAATTTGCCATCTTGATGACTTCATCATAGATACTGGAGGGCCCTGCCAGGTCCCCCAAAGCCTGCTTTCATCAGGCTGAGCAAGCCCTGCATCCTCAGGGACCCAGCTCCCAACCATTTCACTGGCCTCTGCTGACCTTGCTCTAGTTTCCTGATGTACACAGTGTATTTCCTGACCTGGCAAACATCTAGACTAACTTCATGGCCCTGTGTAGTTTTTGTGCACCTGTCTAGAGGTTTTTCCTTGCTAAAGGACTGCCCAGTGTTTTCTTGAATATGTATGTCTGCAGAGTAGGGCTTGAAAGCAAACTGTTTGTTAAAGCAAATAAACTGAAGTTGTTTTAATTTAAAAACATAACATTTGTACCTCCTACTGCAGTCTATAAAATAACATTAAAATGTACCCGTGCTCAGCTCTCAGCCTGCTTTCTCCCTCTGGCCTTTCTCTGGCAACACTGGAGGCCAAGAGACAGGGACAGGGCATGTAAATTCTTGTTTGTTCTTACACTCTTTCCAAGGCATCCACACCACCAGGATTTGAGGTGAATGGCCTTTGGTTTGACCCATACTGATGCTCTTTTCATCTTGTGTTGTTAGAGACCATTGTTTTTTGTACTTGTGATGTTTCTAACTAAAGCAGTACTAAACCATCGTATTTTATATCATTACATCTTCAGTGTAATTCATATTGAACATAGAGATTTATTTTCTTAAAGGAAGGTTCATATCACAATCTTTTTATCAAGGCACAGCATCAAGAATATTAATTTATTCTGGAGTCTTCAGTTGTCTAGCTCATTAATTGAGCCCCACTTATACAATCACAGAAGTACAGAACGGAGCAATTTAGGCTGGAAGGGATCTCAGAGGGAATATAGTCCAACTCCCTGCTCAGAGCAAGGCTAATTTTGATGCTAGATCAGGTTTCCCATCATAGCATAAAGTTTTCATCTTAAAAGCCTGTGTAATGTTGCAAAAAAGTCTCCCTCTTAGGGGAAAAAAAAAATTCCTTGTAATTTTGTTGTTGTGAATGTACACGGCTTAGCTGAATTCAATCACAGGAACACAAGAGGCAGAACTCCTCGGTTACCAAGTCTTTGTGGATTTCTTCCAGGTTTATACCAGCCTTGCAAATAACAGCATTATTCATATGTTTTGGTTTGCAGTTGGAGAAAAATTCAACTCCCTGAATTCTAAGTATCTCTTACATCTGAGGTTTCTCTTAATCAGATCCAGAGTGAAAGAGACACGTGCTATTTTTCCTCAAAAACCTCAAACCAAGCAGAGGATGTAAAAGGGCTGGTGATTTTGTTGCTGTACTTTTTATTCCAGTGGTACTTTGGATGGACACGTTGAACACGTTAAGGGCATGTTTTCTGAACAGGAAAATGCTGCTCTCATTTGAGGCCAACAACAGAGAGGAAAGAAGAAATTTTATTAGGCACAGAGAGTTAAAGAAAGCTACAATGAAAATAGCATACTGTTTTCCAACCTAGTTTTCCAGTCCTAATCACTGATTTTGTCACATTTTAAGTAATAAAATTCTGCCTTTGTTTTATACATGCTATTTTGTTTCTCCCTCCCTATATTTCACAAGAAGAAATTGCTGAATCCATTTTTTATTTCCTGTAAATAGAATTCTACATGCTCCAAGTGTAACTGAAGGCCGAGTGTAACCATCTGCATTTTAGAAGAAAATGTTACAATTCAGAAGTGTCTGTATTCTTTGGAAGGCAAATACAGGGAAAAAAATACATGAAATTTTCAACATTTTCTTAATCTAATATAATTTGTTTTTCTATTACAAAAGTCCTTAATCTTTGTAAGGAATACCAGACTATGTGGTTTTTAACCAAAAGAATGATGTGCTGTTAAGGGTATTAAGCCTTATTTTAATAGCTTTCAAGCATTAATTAAATTATTAATTAAATTATTCTGGTCCATAGAAGACAAATATGTGACTTACAAAACTTATTTCAATTATAGTCTTTAGTAAGAGAAAAGCACTAATGCCTTTTTTTTTCCGCTTTGCTGTCATTTTTTAGCCAGTTAGAAAGCAGTCAGAGCAGTGCTTATTTTATTACAATTTCTAATCTTTTCCAGACTCACTAACTTCTCATAAGAGTTATTTCTTTCTGAAGCCATAATAATGTTTTTAGAATGGAGAGCAAGGGAAAGCTTTATTCTGTGGCTTTTCCAGAGATAAAGACCTTGCTCCTTTTTCAGTCAGTTTAGTCTTTGCACAGTTTAGCACCAGGCTGATCCCTGTTTGGTGCTGGCACAGTGTTGCTCAGGCAGTGGGTAGGTGGAAAGGCACGTGTGAGTTACCAGCTGCACCATGTAGTCACTTCAGTGATTGCTGAGCCTGGACCAGCCCCTGCAAATCCCAAATGCTAAGCTAATAAACCTCCTGAGACACTGAAGCGAAGCTTGTCCTTTAATATTTCCCCAAAGCTTAGCACTAGTGATCAGTATTGGGAGAATCAAGCAGTGCAACTGTTCACAGCTAGAAAATATCTTCAAAATAATTCTTGATGTTAGCACTTGTGTGCATGAGCTGTAGGTGTTACTAACCAGACAGACTGTCAGACAATACACGCGCTGAAAAAAACTGATGGGAGTTCTTGATACAGGGAATTTTTCCTAAATCTTTTCAACTTAGGTCTTTGAAAGGTATCCCGTCCATACTAATGTTTTGATAGAAATGTCACCACTTCTAAGTTTTGCGCATAATTTAAAAGTACAGGGGTTCCTCTGTAGGCGCACAGTTTGTGGTAATTGGGAGTGGGGCTGCAGCCCAGCCTCATCCCCAGTGGGTGCAGCTGTGAGAAGCAGGTGAGCAGCACTGACAGCAATGAGCCATGGAGTGCCCAGGGGCACTGCCCAACCACCAAAGGGAACAGAGGCACACAGAGGGCACACAGGTGCACTGCATCAACATGAGAGTATGAAAGGTTGAGCTAAAGAACAAGAAAGAACAGATGCTTGCAGCTTTCTCAGGTGATGTTACTCTGTATGGGCAGATGCCTGAAGCCTTCTGGTGTGGTATGGTGTTACTCTGTATGGGAGAATGCTTAAAGCCTGCTGAAATTGTATGGGGATACTCTGTATTGTGGCTGTCTCTGTGGCATGTGCTGTGACATTCCTCTTTACTCTGCTAGAACTCCTCAGAATGAAAATGTGGGTTCTGCCTTTGTCAGGAATGAATTGAACATTCTTGGCTGGAGAAGCCCAGGCATGCAGACCATTCAGGCACACCACCACTGACATTCAAGGGGAAATGTTTTCTTGTGCTTCTAAGCAAGGATGTTGAATAAGTATAATTCAGTTAATACAGGCAGCTTGGGAATTAGATGTTTATCATTAAAATAAGTAGAATGTTTAAAAGCATGAAAAGAGTTTACTGTGAATTAGACTGTGCTTGGTCCACTCGGTGCTTAGCAAATGTCCATGCAGATGCATAGCACCAGTTCTTTCGGCTCCAGAAATCTTGTTCAAAGTCATCTTGTAGTCCATGTGGAGTAGATGGACCCAGTAGCACACATTCATTTCAGTGAACTCGGGACCAGTTTCTTGATTAGCTGGCCAGTGTGGATGCACTTTTTAACTATTCTTCCACAACCTTGTTTCTTGTCATTCATGACTTGTTATAAAGATGCTTCTATGTATATAAACACATATAAATATATTATATGTCTTAAGAAAATTAACCAGTACATTAAACAGACCATGCTGCAAAGCAAATAGAAAAACTTACAAAACCTGTACTGATTTTCTATCTTCTGTTGGCCCAATATACATACAGTCTCTGGATTCTTGCAGGACTGTTTTAATTGCTTTTTATCAGCCTCAATTTTATATAACACTTCCATGTTTGAATGAAATACTAGGCAAATTATTTTTGTTCTATTTCCATAAAACTGCTGTATTCACCTTACCCTCTGTAGAGAATCAAAGTGCAAAACTTACTTCCTGTGAAGTTCTGTGCACTATTAGCACTATCAGATATATTTTTGCTTTAATAGCTGTTGCAGGTCATATTTGCCACCCAGCTGTTTTCTCAATTAAAATATTACCTACTTCTTTTATCAATGTCAGCCAACATCCAAGCAATCCACTGTGGAAATCCCAAGCTTCACATGATCAATAATTATACAGTGCAACGCCAGCTGAGCTGAG